TGTTTATTCCCGACGAAAATGATTATGATGAATTAGAAGAACAACAGTTAGAAATTATTTTTAAATATCAAAAATATACGACTTGGTTATATATTCTATTTCTCATAAGTAAATTAATATATCGATAAAGTAATATAAGTATTTTTTTTTCATATAATTTTAGTATCTCTTTATATACTTTTTTCAATGTCTTTAATGAAATTAGAAAGTCGAACAATTATTATTACAAATATAACGTTCAATAAATATCATGAAATATACGTTAAATATAATAAAAGTCTTTTATGTTATTGTTCAAATAATTCGATTCCATATAAGACCTTTCTTTCTAATTATATTAAAATTCATCCTATTTGTTCAAGTATTTTTATTGGTCAATCATGGATTAAATCAATACATTTATCTAATGCAAGTAGATATGGTGTAACAGATTTTCGAACAACTGCTCATTCTCAAGTGAGTTAACATTTGTTTCTTTCGAACATATCCTCTTTTCAATATGAAATATATTCTATTTTATTAAAAAATGGTGAAAAATTTATATTCAATAAGTTATTAGACAGAAGAAAAATTCATGGATTTCTAACGTTCCTTTCCTATACATAGATTTAGAAAAAAATAAAGTACAAATATTTGCAGCCGGATAACTCATTTCAGTATTCAACATTTAGTAAATGATAACATTCACTTGGTAGATTTTATCATGCTGTGTAGTTAGTAAAGATTACAAAGACTTCGACAGTATGATTTTATTTCTATTTTCAAATCAGTTACACTATTAACATAAATATATTGAATAGACAATAAAGAATTTTTGATTAATCATTATATATATCCATGTCGAAAAGTACGGGCTGAATTCGGAAGAAAGAAAGCGGAAATCAACGGAAAGGGAAAGCAGGAATCCTTCGGTTCTCTCCCGAACTGAAAGGAAACGGGCAAAACCGCTCGTATGATCCGGTTAAAATATTCCTGCTTCTATTTTCCGTTGATTTTCGGTGTCTTCCTGCAGTAATTGCACGGATCCTCGAGTCGAAATCATTGTCCAGGGTGTACACTTGATATTTTATTTTAAAAACGTTCAAAAATAGATATTTCCTTTATTTAGTTTCAATTACTATCCGATCTTTGTTCCCTTTCACAAAAGACAATTTTATATAATGCAATAAATTTAAATAATACAGAATATATATCAATATACTTTTTACCTGAAACACAATTTTATCGGGAAGTAAATTCTACGATTCAATTTTTAAATCTTTATGAATCTAATCGAATATTATCAGCATTATATTATATTAATACAACAATTCTATCAAATTATTTTGTTTCATCTCTTAATACAAATCTAATATTTTTAATAAGATATGATAAAAATAACTATACTATTCATCCAATGACAACAATGCTTTGTAAAATTATTGATAATAATACTTTAGAAAAACATTGTAAAACTTGTGGAAGAGAAGATCCAATCAGTGAAGCCGGATTTTTTTCGATTTCAAATAACTTAAATCATTTACTGCATGTTGAATGGAGTTTACCCCAATTAAATTCAACATTAATTAAAGGCTTTTTTGGAGGATGTACTCCTTTTCAAGCATTACTTCATAGCACATTAGATTGTTTATATGATATTGAATGTATTCATTTATTAATTAAATATTTTCCAAATCTTAATCGGGTATGTACACACACACATATATATATATATATAGCGCTCGTTGAGACTGACTCGCATCATCCTCGACTAAAATAGTAGCTCAACGTACGATATTCTTCATTCATGTCTCACACCAAAAACGCAGAAATATCTCATTAAGTTTAACTTCTCGAGTACGATCCTCCTTTATCGAAAACTTTATGAGCTGATTCCAAGATCATTACCTTTCTATTTGTTCAGCATGCATTTCTAACTGAAGATCGCGGTGAAAACGAAATGGTAACTTCATTAGAGCGGATAACCTGAACTTTTCACCTCTAAGCACATCTCCGTTACTTAACAAAACGATGCATATTATAAAATAAGATATGAGTGCCTATAAATATCAGAATCCAACTGGGATGACTTTTCTCATTCGTACAACAAAATATGTTAATGTGATTCTGGGAAGGCAACTGTTGACAAGTGATGTTATTTTCTGAGTCACTATAATTCGAAGAGGTTATTCATGTCTAGCTGAATTCAATAGTAGAACGACAAACAGTCATTTAGTTCTTCTCCGTGTATATCTATTCAAAATTCTATCCGATAATCTAACGTATAGTAGTCAGTGATACAAAAACTCTTAGACACTGTTGGCATAAGGTTCACATTTATTCTATAGTTTATCTGAACTTCGATTTTTTAAAGCAATTTATTACTTTTAAGGCCATTGCTATCGACAAATATTGATCAAACTCGAACAAACGCTCGTACAATCTCAGCTTCTTGATGGAAAGACGAGGGTCAACATAAGTCGTAGACAATGGTTCAAATAAAAGCTAACACCGGATTCTAGATCCTCGACGTTAATTACCTCTTGGTCCACTTTTTCGCATTAAGCGAATACTGAATTTTCATTGGATAGATGGTTCAGCATTAACATGTGGTTCGTGGCGCGAAGTTATAAGGATACCTTAAAGAGTATTTTCATTCCTCATATTCTATTGTTTATATCGATAGTATGAAGATTCTTGATGCAAGAGATGTATAGATACTGATAGAAGCAGGTTTTTATTTATTTCTTCCTCTAGGATCACATCGTCTTCATACAAAACACACCTTTACATATTTGTCCACTGATTAAAAAGTCGAAGGAACGACAATGCTAAAGTGCATTAAAATCGAATGAAGTAAGGCCACATAGCATGCGTACAGCGCATGTACGCGAGACTATTATAGAAAGAGATTCAGAAACATATCTTCATTTTCATCATGTGATATTGCTTACCTTGAAGAATATCGATAATCAATTATTAATTGTGAAGGAAACTTGTGACGCAAGAAGATCCTTATGCCATGACTCCCTCTGCTCATTTCGCAAAATACTCTTACGGAAAAAGTACATAATTACAATCCAGTAAATCATAAACCACATACAAGCTGCAACAATACGCGAGTCTGACAGAGATATAGAAGCACAAGAACTAACAGATCTCTGAATTCAAGAGAGATCTAATCTGCTTCTAGACTTTCTTTAACATGAAATACGACAGTTAAAGACACACACCATTCTGCTCAATATACCCATTCAATAAGATACTTTTAGTAATAACGAGACCATTTTTTAATCAATTGACTTGGCACTTTCTGACATAGAAGCCAAAAGTACTATTTAGCGTAAGACTTTAAAGCTTATATGTATCGTCCAACAAAGATCGTCAGGGCACTAGAACAGCTCCTTAACCCTTTCACGGCGGTATTATTTTTTCGATAATATATCATGTGAAGAGCAAAATCCGACAATATATAGATTGCTCTACTTCATTATGTTTTGTATTTGTTACTATCAAAACTATATAATCTTAAAGGCATATCATTATCGCAATTATATTAATACACATACCCAAGTGTATCTGATTCTTGGCGAAAAAAGTTCCTTCTTCCATAAAAAAAAACCAGCGGTCATTATAGCAACCGCCCGCCTTGAAAGAGTTAAAGCAGGATACAAGCGTCCAAATAACCTGCACTGTTTGAGGTCCATATTTCATTAGCGCTAACGAAGAAACTGTTTTTTTTAATCAACTACAAATCGCCTTCTCTAAAGAATCAAAGGATCTCCGTGGTATAAGACTTGACGACTTAACAGTACTATCATAGCCTGTAGTATGGCCTACAATATAAAACCACCGACCGACACACAAACGTGTATTAGATTTTTTGTCACTTTTTTTAATAGGGCCCTCTCCTCAGTTGAAGCAGTTGATCCATATGTGATAAAACTGTACCAAGAGTGGCTAGTCGTTCATCGACACCCTTTCCAGGTGTCACTCATGACTAGCTGCACGCATCGTCCCGACGTATATAGATCAGCTACTGATCTGATCAAGCAAAATCCCTAATTGATCATAGTTCCTTGACTCGTGCGTTTGCAGACAAGTCAGAAGGAAAAAGAATAGCTATTTTGTTTCATTATCATATCTTATCCTCAAGTCTTGAGTTCGTTAGAATTTCAACTATAGATTGTTATCCAAATCTCCTAGATCAATTTATAAATCTTGTAGCGTATAAACAAGGGTTCTTGGACACTTCATTGAAGGCTGAGAGCAGACGCACCCGATTTGAGTCGAGGGCACTGGCAAGAAGTCAAGGTATGAATAGTACATTATCGCCTCTCTATCATAGTTCTAGGGAGATTGGAGGAACTCGTGTAATGTGGCGCCTCTACAAAGTTTAAGTAATATATATAATACCTCCCAAATGATACAACTGTATTTTCCAAAGAATTTCGAACAATGTTTTTTGACCTTTTGCCCGCGATAAACATGCATACAAACAGATTTAAGTTTTTTTACCACTTTTTCCAACATGACTCTCCTCTCAGTCGAGGGAATAAGAATATGATTATATATATTTATTAGATGAATTACAATTGGTCTGAATATATTTTGCCTACAGAATTACCAAATAAATCAATAAATGAACTTTTACATAATTTATTTATTAGTGAACGATCAATAAAAATAAATTATTTAAAATATTTCACTGAATGTTCTCCTTCATATTGTACATATATTAAAATAAATCAAATAAATTTATACTATTCAATAACTCTTTTTATTAGCTTATATGGTGGTCTTATTATTATTTTTCGATCAATTTCATTATTTTTAATTAAAATTTTATTCATATACCAATCACAATGTATAAACATGAATTCTTGTAATTACGAAATAAAACACCTTATATACGTATATATATATATATATATATATATATGTGCCTTTTCTTTTTAGTGATTAGTAGAAATACTATATATCAATTTAGTCAATGGTTACGAAAATTAAATTTATTCCAAATGAATAATAAACGAACAGAAAATGATATCAAACAACAAAAAATTATGACACGTATTTATTTAATTTTATTAACAGGTAATCTTTTTTCAAATATTAGTGCAATTCAAAATTGTCATTGCTCTATTTTTGGTTTATTCTTATAGTTTCATTTCTAATTTTAATATTATTAACATCACTTGAGAGTGAAACAACATTAATAAATGAATCAAATCCATCATTAATAACTTATAATAATTTACAAAAATCTTATCTAAGCTCACTTCAGTGTCCTTGTTCGAAAACAATAATATCTTATAAAAAATTTCTCTCATTGTCGCCAATATTTCATGATATATGCTCAAGTTATTTGATTGAAAATGAATGGGTTGATATTATGCGATCACTTTCATTTACATGGAAATCTAAAGATTGGCGTAGAAAACTTTATTCATACTTTCAATTATTATCGAATCTTTGTCAATTATCAAGAAAGACAACTGATGAATCTATTCAACGTTTTCTTTCTCAATCTTTTGTTCTATCAAATATAATTAATGAAAATGATTTTAATAAACAATTTGATACGATTCTTGATCAATTTTGTCAATCAACAATAATTTATTTTAATCTTATTATTGATGCAATTCAACTTCTTATACAAGTTGATCAACCATATACTGAATCAGCAGAACATTCTGTTGAAAATGATTTTCTGACAAATTTACATATTAATATAATGAAACCAAATAACAAAACAGTCTTTCAGGTATGTTTTTTAAATTAAAATATGAAAAAAAGAATATAATTTTATTTATATATTAAAAAAATATTTAGGTGAAATTTATTTTAAATGAAATTAATGATTTTAATTCAACATTTATCAAATGTATTTGTGCTATCAATCCATACTGTAAGAGTTTAAATATGATTAATATATCTGAATTAATCATAGGTGAAAATAATCCATATAATGATATTTATTTATCGTCAGGCTTAGTTTCAGCTTGTTCTACAATGGATTCTATTTTGTATTCAACATTTGAATGCTTTTATTCGAAGTCTAATTGTTTAAAATTTTTTTTAAAGTATGCGTTACAACAAATTCCTATTGAGTATCATTCTATATGGGAATCAAAAATTCATCCTTTTATTTATGATTCATCATCAAATCGTTTTTCTCCAAATATTTCAATAGGAATTATTATTAAAAATTTAATGATTGAAAATTGGAATGCAACTCTATTTTATACGCATTTTTATCAATCATGTGCACCAAATTATTGTACTTATCTAGAAAAACGTCGTGTTAAAACATTTATCGAAGTATTAATAACATTCGTATCTATGATTGGGGGCTTAACTGCTTCTTTACATTTAATTACACCTTATCTTTTGAACATTATATTGAATTTACTTCAATGGATAAAACAAAAACAACAGCAATCACAGAGGGGTAATTAGGGACTTCCATCATTGGGGAAAAGGAGACGAAGATTCATTGAATTATATAATTACAAGTATTTCTAATGCTTTTCCTCTCGCATTGATGCATATCATGAAATTGATATCAATCAGCTCCCCAATTTATCTTTCTAATTTGAATCAATGAAAGATAAAAGCATTTCACTGCACACTATCATTTTGTTTTTCTAATCATATTCATATAAAAACATGTTCTAAAACATCGATGATATATAGTTCGATGAATGTTCATCTCTTCATGAGCTATAAGGAATATATCCATGAACATTGTTTCCTGTGGCGCAGATAATATATTGCTTGAGGGTATTATCCTTTACCCCCAATTCTGGTCCCCGGATTCATCCCCACTCGGAGTAGATAATCAAAAAATCTCAGAACTGGTCATCAGTTGAGGATTATTATGTGAAAATATCTTTAATTGGGTACTTATAAGAAAAATTAGAAACAGTAAAATGTATTATATAGTTAATACTTTACTATTAAAGCGATGATAGTAAATTTTTTTATCAATTAGGAACAATGTGAAGTTTTCTTCGTTTTATCTTTTATAATGACTTATCTTGTGTTTGAAAAACAAGTGACTCGACACTGGTTAAAAAATTAGAATTTATAATTAACTCTTTTTAATTTTCTAGATCTCGTCACCAGTTGTTTAGAAAAAAGTCTATCAAAGATCTAACTCCTAATTTAGTTCACCTTAAAGTATACCATGAAGTAACTCGGTACTGTTTAAAGTCTCGATGCATTTTGAATCTGAAACGGTTTTAATTAGTCGCCAGAATTACTAATAGTTTCAAAGACTTACAATCGGATAAATGAAAAGGAAACTAATTAAAGTATCTGTACATACGACATAAATATGGCAAAACGAATCTCAGTTAAATAAATTCCTAAATAAAAACCCTTAACTCGTGGCCAGTTTTGAGATTTTTTTATTATTTACTCGAAGCGGGGATAGAATTTGGAGAAAAAAAAGTCAACCTATTGTTTGTTCTGTTATATAGTTCATCCAAAATATTCCGATCGATTAAAATTCTTGATTCGGAATTTGAACACACTCTTCCATAGTACTATAATAAATTTAAATATATTTCGTCGACGAGATTTCAGTAGTAATCTTGACCAAATTAGAGCAAAATATCTTGGTCAATGGGCAACTCGTCTTTATATTGTTTTGTTGGTTATTGGTATTACTATCGTTATTCTTTTTACTATAACCCAACCTCGAACAATAACAGAAACTTTTGATAAACCATCAATTGATGAATATAATCATCTATTAACGATTTATGGAAATAAACTCGAATGTTCCTGTTCATTTATTTCATCTTCATATAATAAATTTGTTAAAATTGAACCAAAATTTCATGAGGTAAGAAAAATAATGAATTTCAAATAAAAGAAATAAATTTCAAATCAAAATAGATTTGTTTAAGTACATTTATATCTGATCAATGGCGAATTAATATGACATTAGCTCTTGTTAAAAATTTCTCAATTTATGAACAAAATGATTATCGTCGTTTTCTTTCTGCTCATTTACAATTGCTTCAAGGTTTATGTCATCTTTCTATAAAATTAGTCAATAATTCAATCAATCAAACGCTTCATTCCTTATTTACTACTTTACAACTTCTTTCAAACAAAAATTTTCAAACTCGTATTAGTTCATTAATTGAACGCAGTAAATCAGATGCTGTGAAAATCTTTTCTGATCTTTTCTTCTTAATCCGAAGTATTAATCATGGAAATAATATTATGTCAACATATGGAACTAATTTTCAATATATAATACCTTGGACAAGTTTTCAAGGATCTTATATACCTACTCAAGCATTATTCTATGATAATCAATGTTCTTGTTCTTCACAACCAAATTGTAGCACTCAAGCAAATTTTTTTATAGAAAATTCGAATAAAAATATTTCTATCAAAGGTTTAAAAATTGGTTGTACACCAAGTGAATCATTTCTTTCTTCGAGTCTTGAATGTTTTTATGATTTATCATGTATTTATCTTCTTCATCAATATACTAATTCAACATATTCTTCTATTTATTTATCTGCTAAAATGAAACGATCATCAATCAATACGACAATAAATGAACTTACTGATAATTTATTTGTGGATGAATGGATAACTAAAATGAATTATATATCTTATTTCAAACAATGTTCACCTTCATTATGTTCGTATACTTATATTCAACAGTTTCATCTATTATATACAATAAATTTTTTATTTGCTTTTCAAGGTGGTCTTACAATTATTCTAAAATGGATATGTCCTCTATTAGTTGCAATTATTGATAAAATACATCAATATCAAACTAGACGAACAAATATTATTCAACCTATTCAATCGTCTCAAGAAATCTCATCTGTTGAAACTATTCAATGAAATATTAACAGCTAATCGAAAGATTACTACTTTTATACATAAAATAAAATATTTTCTTAATATCAAAAATGTCGTAAATACTACCGATGTTGCGGTTATGTAAGATAATTTTAATAACAATAAAAAGCATTCATAAAATAAAAAATAAACATGTGGAAATATTTGAATGTATTGAAATTGCTTAATTACATAATGATCATTTATTCTATCTTGTTCACTATTGAAAAGATGCTATTGATATATTATCCATTAAAAAAGATGGATGAATCCATGACGGCCCATCAACTATTTGGAAGGCTTTTTTACGATTTTTTCAGCTTAAAATATTGATCTCGACTAGAAAACACTTCTGTTTAAAACATTAAATATTCTCTATTAAGAACCCGAGTTTTCGAGTTGTTTTTCAGAACACTTATGGTATATTTTTATACATAGAAAAAATATCGAGAAAAAGTGTGGAACTTCTTTAGCAGCAATTTTTGGTTTTCAGAAATGTAAACGGAGTCCAGAAACATATTTCTCTTGAAACATCAGACCAGTTCTGTTGAAGGTTTTGAAGGGTCAGAATTTATGTATTCATGAACCTAAGACTACAGGAATCTAGTACAAGGTGGTAATGAAGAGAGCTGTTCAATCTATTTGAGTAATGAGTATCATTGTCAAGTCTGGTTTTAAGAAGTCAGATTGACTAAAAAGGATAGAAAAAGAATTTCTATGTAAATGTAAATGTTCTGGTCTTTGTTGAACGAGATGTCAAACTATATTGAACCATTGAGTTGCTAATTGGTTTGAATTCATACATACCTCGAAATCCTTGTTTTGTACCTAAATTAATGCAGACATAAAGGAACAAAAATAAAAGCTTTTGCTCACCTGTTGTTCAAAGTTTTTCGCTTCTGACTTTCAAAAAAACTGTTCTTCGCTTCTTCTACTTCATCTGATTCAAGAGAGACGATCGTGAATACCAGGATTATCTTTGTTAGATCTTCTTGCCGTTCCAAGTTATTTCTTTTGTGTAAATTCGTACCTGTCTTTTGTATTTGACGGGAGAATGCTTTTGGGAAGTGTAGCATGTCTAGCGACCGACTTCATTACGGCAGCTATATCGTCTCCAGTACTTTTACCATGACCTGTAGCTGTGAACGTCCATGTTAGCTTTTCCTTACAGACCAAAGACTTCTGCCCACTAGACGTTAATATACGGGACGGAAACTAATAGAAAGCTAGAATCTGTATCGGTTCAGTTAGTGTGTGTGGTTATCCCATTTCGGTGTTGAATGAATGAACGTTTTTGTTCAATACTTTCATATTTTTTCAATTAAATTTTACTAAAATCTTTTTTCCACTTATCAGGTTTGAATCAAAAGCTAAACAGGCTTGACGCTCATTTGTCCTTCGAAAAAACAAAGGTATACTAGCTTATCCATAAAGTCTACGAGGAAACGTGTCTTCATCTGACTCAATAGTTGACACTGTGGTACAGTTTTATAATGAAGATGGTATTAGTCCAAACTCGTCCAATTCTAAATATACAATTACAATCAACGAGCAACCTGTAGCAGTTCGGTTTTTAGAGATGACTGTCTTCGACGCGTAACATATATTCGAAGAACGAAATCCCGGACTTGTTGTACGATAAATGTTCAATACTCTTCGACCACGAGAAGTGACGATTGCAACATCACACGATACGTGCATTTGCATAATTCATGAGAATATTGATTTGTTTCTCAAGGTTTGTAGCGTTTGCATGTTGGCTCGAACTTAAAATAACTTCATTATAGGCCTGGAATAACTATTATTGGAAATGTGCTGGTGCAGCTGCTTTATAGGTCACCAACCAGATTACTATGAAAGATCTAATTAATCAAATGGTGTGCACAGACTCGGGTGAAAAGTGTTTCAGTGGTAAATGCAAAAAAAATCGCTCATCGAAGAACATCACACTCATTCTGACTAGCAGCAACATGATGGATTCGGATGATGAATGCTCATCGACTCTGTCGAAGAAAGTTAACAATAAGTTCGACCTTTAACAGATGTTTCGCTCAGTTGAATGTCTATTATGGGAAATTGAAGAAAGATGGTCATTATCATTGCTTCACACACATACAAACAGAGTACAATGTGAATACATCAATGACTTGTGCAGTAAATCAACGAACGACTTGTTTGCGATGGCGCAAATAGATTTTTCAATGAATTATACACTGATAAGTCAGCTTATTTACAATCCATCGTACCATGGGAAATGAACAGAGAAATATAGCGACCATCAGTAATTATATGGAGCATTCGTGCACTGTGTTAAAAAAATTCTCGTTGAATTCATCAAGAACCACTTTCCATTCATAAAAAAGATCAATTATGTTAGGTAAATCGTGTTTTTCATGTACCTTGTGTGGTATGTTGACTCTCTTCTTCCGTTTAGTGATAGAGCATGTGCCCATTTCCAGAATAACGCTAGTATCTTGAAACTGATTCATCACAAGTGGAATTTTGGTTCAAATGATTCATGACGTAGGATACCTTCGGGCAGGATTCGACATTTTCTTGAGCCGATTCGTTTCAGCGTAGGTTCCAATCAAACCAACACTAGTTCGAAATACAACTTGATGAGGTCTATCGGTTCCAAAAATAAAATTTCCAAAAAAGTTCTTTTCACACCCTCAAAAATTGGATGAGTTCGCATGGATGCACCTAAAGGATGGCTGCCAGTAAGTGGTTCGAATTGTCAGTGAGCAATTGAAACGAATCGAAGACTTTTTGATGGATATGACAATATTTTATTGAGAGAAGACAAACACAACCTATTGAATATTCATCATCCTTTATACAGGATTCGGAATATACAATGAGACACACAAAACGCACGATACAGTCCTTTTGGATTATCAGAATAAATGTAAGAGGTGAGGAGAGAGTACATATATATATGATAGATGAGGACATATCAGAGTACAAATACATAAGAATAAGAGAAGGTATGGCGTATCATCACAATTACCACTGCTGTTACTGCTACTAATATAGCCCCTAGTGTTGCCGGCGCTTGGTGCTGCTGCGTGTGGTGATGGTGCTTGTATTCTTTGTGCTGCTGCTACTGCTGCTGCTGCTGACACCAACAGTTGAATCTACTTTCAAAGTTACAGTTCCTATCAATCCACCACTGATACCTTTTGCTTGATTCACATATGCTAATGTGACTAAGGAATCAACACCATCTTGTTGTGTATAAACACGATCAACACTATTTAGCGTACGTGTTACTGTGTTTGAACTATAAGGTGAAATCGCTTGAACTAATGTTGTATAACTGTCATTGAAAAAGATTTGGCCTGTATGTGATGTATGTCCACCCCAATAATAGACTGAGCCACTAGTAGTTTCCACACCACCAGAACGAACTTTAGCATGAATATGTGTTGCACGTCCACCATAATATCCAGGATAAACTGTATAAAATGTTGCTTGTCCATTCGTGTTTGTTAATTGGACACCTCGCAAATATGTTGTTGTACTGACAACACTTGTTTCAAAATGTGAATAAACACCAATAGAATTACAATGCCATAGATCAACAGCAGCATTAACAATTGCAGAACAATTATTTGTATCGACTACAGTTACTATCAATGTAAACGGTATGCCAGCTTGTGATTCTCTAAAATCAACAAAGAGATTACATATAATCAACTCTGACAATAACAAAACACTATTCCTATACGTAGAAGTTTTCTTTGATATTTACGTTATATTTTGTCGTACTAATGATCCATTGTAATAGTACGGTCCTTCTTCGATTTCTGGTGTTAATGAACATCCTGAAACGACAGCTCGTTTATTCCGTAGTTGTCCTTGTACATTACCATCTAGAATATCAGTTATATTGAAAGTAAGTTATTATTCTTTCTAAACGAGATTTAGTCAGTACTTACTTGAAAAAGTTGTGAGTACCAAAAGTAAAAAGATAGCTGGTGTAGTAAATTTAATAGATAGCATGTTTTTGTTTTTTCTTCTTCTTTTGAATTCCTTCTGTTTCTTGTAAAATTTAATAAGACACGATTATTATGCTTTGAAATTTACCCACCTATATATATACCTGAGAGTGTATGACAATCTAGCATGTACTTTTTTTATCGCTAACAGTATGCTTCTATCGTTTGTACAGCAATGAAAATAATTTTCTTCGTCATACATGTTTATTTTTGTTTCTTCCTGCGAATATTGCAAGGAAAAAGCAGAATATAATGAATCATGAAAGCCGTAGTACTCATATGTACTTTTTGAAGTGATGAACGGCGTATTTTTCTATAGACGTTAATGTACTATTTACTTAGTGTAATCATATTTTGAATAATCTGCAAAAGTACATCAATGATTACTCCATGAATCATCATTGTGGTAGGCGACTCTGTCGAAGGTATAGATACAACTGAATATGTCATTAATCGTCATATAGGCTGCCGTCCAGAATGAAATTTTAATCATCAGAGACTTCTGTAAATAATGTAACTTTAGAATTACCGAAAAATGAATTGGCGCGTTTTCCATGTGTTATTTCCCTTCTCCCTATTCATTTTTAAATGTTGTACGGATAGGTTTAGCCTAGATGGTGTTAGAACATCACCCAATAAAGGAGACGTTGAACTTTTGTAGTATTAGAGAGATTATTAGTATTTCTCCGAAGTATTTATTGTGAAGAATACGGCTTTTTTTCGTCGTAGATTTACATACATGAAAATATAAAATTTTTATAACACATCTAAAGAAAATTTTCCACAAAATGACAGAAGAGTTATCTGATTAAGTATTAATGAATTTATGTTGCTCGCTATAGTGGCTATATTCTTGAGAAATTGTATATTTTCGTTAAACTTTGACTATTATCTAGTATATCATTAGTTCATTAGAACAGATGTGCGCATCTTTCATGAATCATTCAGAGCAGTAGGAGATTTCGGTATAGCAAAAATGAATGAAGGTTCTTCGATATGAAAATAATATCAGCGTGTCGATATATTCATTACACATTTAAAAGCGAATATCAAGAAACAAATATAAAAACATATTATGATCAAAAATAAAGTTATACATTAAAAACTACAGATAGGCATTACCTACATCTGTCTCACTGTCGGCTTTTGTTATATTATTAACATTTGACAGACTCTCTCCTTCACAATATAGACATATCCATTTGTCAATATTGCCTTCAATTTCTTCGCGAGTTTGACCAATACATTCAGGATGATATAATTCGAAACCGACAGAACATTGGGCTATCGAGTGTTCTTCTTTACACGGTTCACTGCAAACACAACGGGCTTCATTACATGATGAACATTCTTATAGCTGTCGATAATATTATCAATTATGTTTTGTTTTAAACAGATCATTATAATCACGAGTAGATTTTGTTGTGGTTGAATAGTCCGTATTAATATAATATTATATAAAATCTGTGCATATCGACTGGTTGTGCATGCGCCTCTTTTACAAAAACAATAAAGTTCTGTATCTTGCGGATGTTCTTTATAAAATTCAACTATTAATGAATGTTTCTTGAATGAAGTAAACCGTGACAATATACGACAATCTTGATACCGTTTTCCTTAGATTTATGCTGAGTGATTTTTATCTGATCGACTGAATTGGTCAAGTATCGTTCAGTTAATTTTAATGTATAGCAATCTATCGACATCATTTCGATGTCGAATATTGTAAATCCTGGTGCATGTTGTCATGGCATTCTGCCATGATTATGTGAATATGGTCAGGATGATTGAGTCATATACACAGTATATACACATGAGTGAGCGTTTGTGCTGATATCTGTCGTCCCCGGTCATTCTCTTACGTTATTCCTTGTTGTTCTCTCACCGAAAAACTTCCCACATATTTTGCATGCTTTATGTAGCAGATGACGATAATTAGGTTTCCGGCTACTAGTCTACAGAAACTCTTATTATTTTTCGCAATTAATACTTTTAATTCAATTCCATCATCATTAATATGTCGTAAGATTCTTGTAATGTTTATCTTTATTTGATGAATCTTTGGACAAAGGCACATCAAACTTGTTGATAGGAAATACTAATATAGACGTAATTTAATTGAAATTCGACAGATACTCATACAGAAGCTTCTTTAGTAATGTTTTCATGATTTCAAACGACCAATCGTAGATTCAATAACATTTCTGTGAACTTTAATGAGCGTAAGCAAAAATATTCAAAAACAGGGGAGATAATTATTGTTATGCAAGAAATTTAATACGAGCGAAACCTACATGCCAGAATTCTGGACTCTTCGGCTTCTTAATTTGTTAATTCAGTTTCTCCTTTGTATCTTGATTTCACGATTTTTATTTGGTAGTTTCTTTTTCTCATTCCTGTATAACCTCGATTGAATACGGGAATATCATTACATTTCAAAGTATTTTCGAAGAAAAATGTTACATTTATATGATTATACGTGAACGGCAATTTGTCAGAGTTGATTAATCGTAATAAGATTACGAAAATATACAGGTAGATGAAGAGAGATATACGTCTCCTGAAAACAACTATGTTCGTAAACAATTAGCAAAATCCGGTCTGACAAATTTAACGTGCATTATGTCAAGGAAATCTGCACATCCTTGAGTAGTGTAGTATTTATGATTAGGTTTTCATTTGAGGCGCTTTACGTACAGAATTTCTAAGACTTAATAGACTCAAAAGGTGATTTATCGGAGATATGATGCTTGGGAGCTGATCTCGATTTCATAAGAATAACTTCTCTAGTTGCATGAACAAAAGCCAACACATTTCAAAACAAAGAAATGAATATTTAGCAAATAAACTATTACAAAACACATGAACGTCTTCGCGGATTATTTTCTCATTGTCTGAGACTAGATTGACTTCTGTGTGATCTATCATACTGAAAACCATTTAGTAGGCTAAAGAGAAGCAAACGTTGCTTGATGCTCGATAAAATAAATTTTTATTTGTGAAGACTTTCGAACACGTTCTTTGGAGTTTAAACTCTGTCTTACTTTTTGACACTTTGATAAGATATTATCTTATATCTTTTCAAATTGGTTCGATTTTTTTTGTTGAAAATACCATCAAAATGCTGCGTTTCACTCAACATCACCAAAAGGATTTTTAACGGATGTGCAGTTTTCGTATTAATTGTAGTATACATGTGCGACGAATTTGAATTGTCCGTGTTCCATGATTATATGTAGTATACACGGACAGCACAAGCTCCATCTTGAAGGGAAAGCAATAAAACTTTTAAATCTATACTAGCGACTGTTGTGACAGTACAAGAGAAAGCTATAGTTTTTCAATTACTTTTTGGATTATTTTGAAAACTCATGTGAAATTTTGTGAAAAATTTTAAAATATTTCTGAGCACTTACGGTAGTTTCCGAGACGCCTCGACGAAGATTTCCAAAAATAATCGAAAAATCGGATAAGTCATTCAAAAAAGTCTTTAGCTTTCCAGATTTATTATTTAAAAATATCTCGATAAAGTTTTCAATTTTCGACATTCTTTCTTCCATAACAAAGTTTTTGGAAGAGAGAAAGGGAGATTCAATACTCGTAGAATAACTTTCAAAAGATGAAAATATTAATAGAGGCAATAACTTTCTATTGCCTCCCCAAATATTTTTTAGGGGAGGCAATTGCTTCCCTTCGCCTATTAGGTGCGCCGTCTATGATAATATCTGTTACTAATATTACTTTCACTAGCAGCTATATAAACATTACAAATGAATGAATTTCAACTTGATTTTATTAAAAAACAACGGAAAAAAGACAAATTATTTATCCTTCTTGTTGATCAATGTTGTGATAAAATCTGGCGCTCTAGTTAGTCCACCGCCTGCAGCACCGTATTGAACAAAAATATTTTTCAACGGCTCAATCCAATTCAGTTGTCCATATCGGCTAACTTGTCGATTACAACCGTAAACATGAATTGGTTTCACTTGACATTCTCGTCCCAACGATTTTCTCACCGACGTAATTAAGCCGAGTGCAATACTTTCATCATAGAACGCTGTACGCTTATCCGAAACATTGGGTGTTACACAAGCACCTGCCGTAAATCTCATTAAATACAAATCTTCTTTGTCATTGACGGATATGGGTTGCGTTGATAGCTTCGTCGCATGATTAGTACCACCACAGACAAGAACAGGTGGAAGTTGATAACCTTTCGGAATGTAAACATGTGCTAACATCGACACACCACGTGCTGAAACCACATCATATAATCGTTTATTATTCTTAGTGAAAATTTCTTGACTTCCCAATGATAGAATCAAACGAGAGAATTTGATTGATTTCTCTTCACCCATTTGATTTTGGAAACGAATAATACCACCTCCTTGACTGTCCGCACTGTCATCATAGTAAATCGTTTTTAATGTTCCGTCGATAACAGTTCTACCTTGCTTCACTAAATATTCGCACAAGATTTTCATGAAATTAGCGACCAAAACACGATCATGAATCTTTTCACCAAAAACTAAACCGTTTGGAATAAATCCATAACGATTCAAGATGGTTTTCTTCGATAAAATGTCAACATTTCGTCCTTCCTTCAACAAACTCTTCTTCAAATCATCCAAATCATTGATTTCTTGTTTGTTTCGAGCGATGATAATTGATCCGTATCCATCTAGCAGAAGTTTCTTATTCAAACTAATATCTAATTGATCAAAGAATTTCTCATTAATAAAACATTGCTTTGCAACGTCATTTAACAGGTTCGTTCGATCATGAAACATTGTGAAGATTTGGAATTGAGCTAAAAGTTTAAAACCGCGATACCAGTGATTCGGATGCGAGATCCATCCTAACCAATCGATTGTTCGCCATGGAAATTCACCCGTTGTACTAATTTCTTTCAATGAAATATTGTCAATGAACAGACGTTTCAATTGATCACGAAGGAATTTTGTTGGCTTATAACTTGTTGGTGCTTCGGTATGAGCATCTTGTTCTAAATGCCATGCTGAACCATTGGCGATCGGTATGCGTTGAAAATTATTCAAATAGATTAAGTTTTCATTTTTATCTTGAATTAAATGTACCGCACTGATTAATGCTGGTGGACCACCGACAACTAGGGTGTCGACGGTATGATCGATTCTTCCGTGATGGTAATCTTTCATCGATTGAATGTAGACAGGAGTTTTTAGTGCATGCTTTTCTTTGATTTCGTCGAGATTATTTCCAATTAGAAATTCGTATCGAGCGAAATGTTTGTGAAACAAAGCCAATTGTTGAATGTCATTTGTCAGAAAAGGATGATGCATTCCTGAAATGAAATACTTTTTATGTTGTTCATTCGTATGAATACTAAATTCATCATGTTCTTCTATTGTATCGTTGTATCGCGAATGTAATTTTGCTATTGTTACCGTTGTTATTCCAAATACACCGAGATAACCTAGTCGACGATACATATTACACCGATGGTGAGGGTGAGAAATTCGGAATGAATGTTTTATCTTTAGTGTTTCATCTTCGGTTACTGATAAGCATAAAAGCGAAAACGTGCTTTTATCTTTAATAGAAAGAAACAAATGGATGGTATCTTTTTCCTTTACTACTCAGGGTTATTTAAAAAAAAAAGAACAAAAGAAAAACTATTAAATCAATCGAACCATATAAAATCAACACTGTTCACACGTTTATGCACAAATCTTCTCCATTGGCTTCCACTTTCCATTAATTTGTTTATATCGTCACCCTGGTATATTTTTAAAAATAACAACTTCGTAAAACTATCAATTATATACTGCAACCTTGCCACTGACCTTGTTAGATCTATTTCTAGCGCTTCTAGTTTTGAAAAATTCGCGCATGACTTAAGAGCTTCCTCATTATATCCAGAACACTGTATTAATTTGAATGACTTGATTTTTTCCAGATAAGCCAACCGGTCAGCACTTAGCTGCTTTTTACTAACTCCATATGATATGCCTAAAACTTCACGAAAGCTCTGTGCACACATTCGGATCGATAGTTGAGTCGGATGATATTTTAATATATCAAAGAATAAATCCGGGTTGATGTAATCAAGAAATATCAAATGTTCGACAGATGAAATATTTATCAATCTACGCAATTGTTCATAGGTCATGTTACGGTCTGTTTGATATATAGACAACGATCGAACACGATCGAAGTGTAAATTGGACGGAAGATGATTTGTGTTAATCGAGTCTAAATGTAGAACCGGAACGCTGATTGCTGACGATGAACTTGTCGATGTTCGTTCATATGGTACAAGATAGTTTAATTCTGATTTGATGCATGGTAGGGTATAAATAAATACTCGATGGCCCGTTAAGTAATCGCAGTTGACAAACCATTTTTTGTCTCGTAGCCAAAAGTCAGTTTTGTATGACTCGATGATGTCATTATGAGGTCGGGAAACGATTCCGTCGTTAATAAAGAAAAAGAATCGAAAACGTTTTATGTGAGGAATGTAATTTTCAATCAGGTATCTCCAGTGATTACCGTCGATGTGTGATTCTTTAAATAGTTCACCTTCTAGTTCTAAATGATTCAATTGAGGTAAATATAGACACTGTTTGAATAGTTGGTGAATATTCATCGACTCGGGAATGTCATGGAGCTTGAGAGTGATTAACGTTGCGATTGTTAGTCCACAAACTTTACCAAAATCACAAGTAAACTTATGTATACTAAGTGACTTCATATTTGTTGTGTACAGTTGCAACCAAGTTAGATCATCAAAACTCATTCCATAAAATTCATAAAATTCAATAGTTGATTTTTCATTCGACAACGTCATATATTTTCCACTGAAAAAATCCAAGCCAACATTCCATGATAAAAACGTCAGTGTCTTGATTTTAAACAGTAGAATGAAACGAAGCAGATTTAGACGTGAATCGGACATACTGTAGGAATAATCATATTTTCGATAGAGGATTAATGATAAATGTTTTAGACGCTGAAAGTTGGATAATTTGAAAACAAACGATTCCAGTTGGTCAACATTAGTACCTGCCTATGAGAGTAATCCAAGGGTTGAATAATATAAATTGAGTGGATATAAGGTCAAATATTGGTTCGTGTCAATGAAGAGGTCTTCCCTAGAAGTCAATCTTAAAGATTTGACTTGTTGAATATATTTTGGTAATTGTTGAATTACTTCAAAGTGCCATAATCTTCTTAGAACGGATAAGTCCAGGTAATATTGCTGGTATGTTTGTGTTAACGATTGAAAATATGAATTAAGTTGTCGAAATGCATTGATGATTTCATGAAAATATAGATGATCGAAAACGACGAAGATTATTTCAGTCGGCAGATCTTCTATTCGTGAATTCAAAGTACGTCGAAGTGACATCGCATGTAATAAGCAGCAATAATATGTGGAAAATGCCGTTTGTTTTCGGTTTATATAAGTTTGGCATGACTCAATGTGTGAAATTTGGCTTAACTGTTAAAAGAAAAGGCTTATCTATTACCAACTAAAAGCAGAAAGAAAAAAAACTGATAAAAATAAATTTCTTTTTAAAAGAAAAGAAAATACATTCAAATATACACTTAAGATTTCTTTGGTCGTTCAGTCATCTTTCGTTAATATCTGTGCGCTGTTAGATGAGGGCGTGGATGATGTTAAAAAGTTATGATTGGAATTGATGGAGCGTATTAAGTTTTATTTGGAGCCAGTGTGATTAGTGTATCTGGTAGCCGAAAGCCAATGTGACGCGCAGGAAAAATAGCACATCTTGTAGAACATATTTTTCTCTATCGATCTGCCTGTATAACGAAATAGACTATTGATTTTATTTTTTGGAAGTGATAAGTCCTCATGCAGTATGCCATGAGGATTCCGACTATCCCATGGTGAAATATCGATGGTTTTTCGATAGACAGTCGACTTTTCGTTTTCAGCAAAATTCGAAAAACGAAAATTGGTGCTCTTATTACTTGACCTATATCTTCTCGAAAGAAAACCCAAAACGAAAAAATTTTACAGCAAAATGCTCAGCGTAAAAAGCTCTACACACCCTGCAAGTCTCATGAAAGTCGGAGAAGGTCGTCGAATCCGCTCGTGGTTTCTCATGGGCGTGCCCTGAAGTTAGATGACGAAAAGGAGACCTGTTAAAGGCGATCTACTCCAGAAGAATCGATTAAAATCAGATTTATCTTTTCTTTACATGGGTGTTCGATGCTTCATCATTTGATCGCATTTATTAACTTTGAATGCAAATCCATTGATGAATATGATTTGATTTGGTTCCAGGAACATAGAAATTATACAAGATATCCATGAAACTTTTGCCACTAGAACAAGTATTCGTAAGCATTTATACTTGTGTACAAATAGAAACAGACGAGAGAATTCATTTGTAACACACCAGAATAGTGCATGTATCCATTTAAATATAAAATGAGCTTAGAATGCGGGTAAAATCGGGTATTTCAGGCTCGTCACATAAGAATAAATGAAGAATAGCATCCATCATTGTTCTGATGAAGGTTTGTTATGATAAAAGTGAAAAGCATTGAAATTATATCGCATAAATTTTTATCTGCTTTTCTGATGATGCAAGAATAGCTACTTCCTTCGTTGTTATGACAAATAATATTTACACTTGTAAATGTTCTCATTCTGCGAAATGTTTCCAGCCAGTAAAATGAGTCATATGCGTCATGTTGGTTTTTTCTCGTCCACAGAAACTCTCTATAAAATGTGGCACCCTGCTCTACTTCACACCATTCGATACAAATGGAAAACGATTCGTGTTACATTGTCGACTGTTCCAATGAGAATAGCTCACTTTTTGCTGAATTACGAGACGAATTAATCAAGAATGGGTATGTGAAAGTGAAATGTGAAAATCTGCCGGACGGTGACTGCGACAAGGCTTGTCTGAATACAATTGCGGCCGTGGGTGGTGTATGTTGTCCATATGACGATGATTCCGAGTCATTCATCTGGCCCGTGAAAGTACTCGAACTCGATTCGCCTGAATCGCATTTGCAAGCTTCGCAACTTGACCGAGAACTAGTCCTTCACACAGACTGTTCTTATGAGCACGATGCACCCCATTTCGTTGCTCTCTATGTCGTTCAATGTGATCGCAGCGAACGTGGCGGCAAATTTCAGATGGTACGCACACAAGAAATTATCGATAAATTATCGCCGGAAACTAAACGTCTGTTACGTGATGAAACATACAAGATTAATGTTCCACCAGATTTTCGTAAAGGCAACACCGAATATATACGTGGTTCGATTTTATTGAACGGCGAGAAACACATTCGATATCGCCGTGATATTATCGATAAAAGTCGTTTGAAAGAAGAATCAGCAGAGAAACAAGCAGCAATAGCTGAACTCAACTCAATTATTCTCTCTGAAAACCAGCTGCACGTGTTTCAGCCCAAGTTAGAAAATAACATGATGGTTCTCTTCGATAATCGTCGTTTTCTACATGGCCGAACGAAAATTCAAGATCTTGAACGATATCTGCTGCGTGTTCGTTTTAATTTAAGTTAACTTTTTTGCACGTACAAACTAGTTATGACTACTGAAAATCAATAAACATTTCTTTTCTGTTTGCTCTGGTAATAAACAATAACGTGAATGCAAAGAACGAAAAAAAATCCTTCGACGCGTCGTAGGTTGAGAAAAAAATTTGTTCTATCAAAACTAAATGATTGGATTGAAAACTCGGTGGGTTGAATTCTAAATTGCTCACGTGTCTCACTTTAACCAACTTTGCTTATATTTAGTAAAATCAGACTCTTCATCTTTTTCGCTGTATGTATCGGTATTTTCCTAGTTACATTTGTCATCACAAAGAACTCTAAAAGATTGCTTTGTAACGTCGTTGAAAATTCAATTTCAAATGCAAGTCAAACCAAATGGAAGAAGAATAGACTCGTTATCGTTCCAGCGATATTCTTAGAAATCGATTGGGGAAGGCCACTGACTTGGCCTCCTTGGTTAATCGATGGTCTTGATTTATTTAATAAGAATCATTCACGACCGTATGACATTTATTTATATCAACGCATCGATTCAAGTTCCAGAGCACCTTTCAATTGGCCCTATTGTCGAAATGTCCATGAAGAAACAGGTGTTTATTTAAAGTTTATCTACGACTTTTATCATGATTTACCTGATAAGATGTTATTTGTACACGGCGAACCGGAGCGGCATTCTGTTTCTCCGATTCAAGCAGCGCATTGTGTTCGTGACGACGTCTTTTACACAAGCGTGAATACAGTTTGGTGGGGAAAACGACATTGGACGGCGCCAAATCCTGATCCTATTGATAATATAACGCTACTATATAAGTGTGCAAAGCGCCTCTTGAGATTGTTTGGCTTTGACAGTGAAGCTCAATTAAATCCGACAAACAAGAAGCCGGAGGATTCGAGTATTTATTCAACCATGTGTTGTGCACAATTTTACGTCAGAAAAGAACGTATCCATCATTACACATACGAACAATGGTCCGCAGCTTACAATGCCAGTCTGGAACCTTACTGTACGTCGCCACTCGATCGTCAAATTCCAAGAAAACCTGGAGTGAAATCGTTTGGAAGTAGTTTCGAATTTCTTTGGCACATCATTCTTGGACTTGAATCATCCGATATGCCCGAACCGAAAGCAAAGACAACTTCCGATCTGTGTCATCTATTTCGTTCGTCATGTGCTGGAACTCTATGTAACACCGCGTTCACTAGAAATATATTCTAGTATTATGTATTGTATGGCTGAGAGTGTTTTTTTTTTAATTTTTATTTTGTTAATCATTTTTTGACAAAAAAGATCGGCACTGCTTACCATTGTTGCTTTCTCTTTGTTATCGACAAAATCCTCATATCAGTAACTGTTGTTGCATCTCGATCAAAAAAAAGAACATTTGCTGCGATAGGAAAAAGGCAACGAATCTAGCTAATAATACCAAATGTCTATGCCATATGTTGAATCAGCACGGAAATGCTGAAATGAATTTTATACTGATTACATGAAAGTCATTCCTTTTCAGTGCAATTTGAAAAAAGCCTATTCACACATACCCTGAAAGGTATGGAGATTCTGCATCTTTTGATATTTTTTACATTATTCAAGGGATCTATTGCGCAACAATCGATATATCATTCTCATCAACCCGTATTATCCACTTTCGGATTCCATTGTCTTTATGCTTATTTGATTGATGATGAACAGTATCGTGGTACCACTACCGACATAACTTATCATCTCATTCCGTACTGTCGACGACCAGCTGACGACGAAGAATTGAAATCCGAGTTCTCCGCGATTTCATCCAGCAATATGTATAACAGCATAACGTTTCATGATTTATACAAGAGTAATGTCACCGTGGAACAATTACTTCATTGGAAAGCACCGATCGATCTAATTGAACATTATCTAGCGAAAAGTACAGACTCAACGACCGTGTTTTACAACTGTTCTTTGCCATGGTTTGGTTCTAGATGTCAATACAGGTTTGCAAACGAATCAGCGTCATCATTTAGTGACATTGTTCGACTAAATTTCTTGACGCGATTACCCATTTTCGACGGAGCTCCAACTGATTTCGACGTTGGCACATGCTATCCGTTTTTACCGAAATGTTTTCCTAAACCTATACCGGTCTGTCTCGATTGGCGTCAGATTTGTGATGGAAACGTTGATTGTGCTAACGGTGACGATGAACAATATTGTGAAGCACTAGAAACGAATGAATGCCCCAACGACAGTTATAGATGTCACTATAGTGGTGAATGTGTGTCCTTCACATTCGTACAAGATGAACGCAATAATGCTGAGTGTCTTGATGGAACTGATGAAACAGAAATCTATACGGATGCTAGTGATAGTCTTGGAATTTTATGTTATACGGTCCCAACGTTTCGGTGTGAGGAACGTACTAGTCGCTTTCCACATTCTTTTCAATGTGGCGACGGCCAATATATTCCCTTTCATCGGATTGATTCATTACTAACTACCGAATGTCGTAATGGTCGACATATACGATTCACACGACATGGCGGCGATGTATCTTTGAGTATTCTGAATGAAGTTCTGAAGCAGTTTTATAACTCTACATTGAGCTCAATGATGCTCATTCTCAATCAAACGCTGACAGATCCGCACGCAGTGTATTCGATCATTGCGTGTCCATCTCCTGGTAGCAAATGTTTATCAAAATGGTTTTTCAAAGCTCTATTACCCCCAATATTTTCTACATTCTACTTTCTCTACCTACCCGATCGATTATTTCAAGATTTCTATTATGTTGTTGATCCAGACTTCATTTGTGTTCGCACAGAAAAGTGTCCTGGATTGATCAGACATGCTACAGATATTGGGTTAAATAGCGTTGGACTCGCTTGTAGCTCTATCGATCAGCTGCTGAACGAGTCGTTAATCAGTACAGGAATAGTACACATAGCTTTGCGTGAACTATTGAGTTATTGTTCAACAGCTGCAAACGAGCAAACATGCTCTCATTCTTCACTCTTTTACTGTCCATTATCAAAGAAATGTATTTCAAAACACCGCCTTGCTGACGGTATCTCCGATTGCTTTTTCAATGAGGATGAAACATATTCAGCGTGTCAATTTAATGACTTACAACGATTTATTTGTACATCTGAACCAAACAAATGCTTGTCACCAATAGCATTATTTAACGGTAGAAAGGAGTGCAGAGATGGAGAAGATGAGTTGAATGAACATCAACGAGATGTTCTCAATGGATACGTGCCAGTTAGTCTTGTATGTGATAATAAACTTCATCCATTGTTACAAAGCGCAAACGAAACCGATGAAACCAATTGTGAACTTTGGCCATGTAGTAATCCTTATACGCAGTGTGATGGTTATCAACATTGTCGGAATCTTTCGGATGAATACAACTGTCCTCGAATGCAATATACCATAAGTGAAGACAAATGTTCTAAAACAATACTTACAGGTCTATTTTGTAAGCGAATACTAAATTTAATGGAAGAAAAATTCAATGCCGAAATAATCTATACTGAACATAACGACTCTCTGCAAAATATTACAAATAAGAACGTCACAAAGTGTCCTCCACTACCTACATGTTTCACTCTGCATACAATATGTAACTTCTATTCACCATCGACGTCAACTATCAATCCATGTATGACAACAGATACACTCTTCTGTTTCTGGGAGCATTTATACTGGGGATCAATATTTAAAACACATATTTGTCCTTTCAGTTTGTCCAGTGTTAATACTAAAGCACAGAAAGAATCGTTCTTCACGCCATCACGCATGGGTAATTTTCCATCACTATCGACAACAACAACGTCCAAGAAAAATCGCTCGAATATCGAATCGCCAACTAAGATTTCACCACCAAACAGAAACTTTGAAAACTGGTACTGTAATCGAGGGATTCTCGTTTGGTTCAATCATAGTCAATCCAGAAAGTGTTTCTGCTCGCCAAGCTACTTCGGTGATCGATGCCAATGGCAAAATCAACGTGTGAGTTTAACGTTACAACTAGAATATCGCACCGATGCTTTTATCAACATTGTGTTTCAACTTGTTATCATGCTTCTCGACGAACAACGACGAATTACATCGTATCACGAACAGATCCTCTATATTCCAAAGCAAGACTGTGGCAGAAAATATAATATTTATTTACTCTATCCAACGAAACCAAAGAACCTTTCTGCAAACTACTTTATACATATCGATGTGTTCAACAAAATCACATTGACATATTTAGCCAGTTGGCATTTACCTATTCCTTTTCCATTTCTACCAGTCAATCGAATTGCAAGTCGCTTCTTCATACCAACTGCATCGATCATTTCTAAACCGTGTCCTTTAGTCTGTGGTGAACATGGTCAATGCGTTCAATATGCGAATGGAAATCGCTTGTACTTTTGTCAATGCGAACAAGGATATTCTGGTTTATCATGTGATATAAAGCATCAGTGCACTTGTTCATCTAACTCTATTTGTCTTTCTTCATCGATTTGTGTTTGTCCAGTGACTCAATTCGGTCCAAGATGTTATCTCAATCGTTCCATCTGTCGAACAAATCCATGTCAAAATCATGGCGAGTGTGTGCCTGTTGACGATCGAATTGAATTCAACAAGTTTATCTGTTTATGCAAACAGAATTTCTACGGACCGGTATGTGAATATCACAAAAATCGAATTGATATTCAATTTGACAACAACAAACTCAATCTCATGCCATTTATCTACATCCATTTCATCACCGCTTCTGAATTTCAGCCTCATCAACAAACAACACAATTGAAAAAGATAAATATTGCACAGAATTTTGTCACAGTTTATGCCAGCTACTCATTTCATCTCGCATTCATCGAATTGCCTGATCGTACATATTACTTAATCATATCGAAAGAGAAATCCATCGATGCCGAACATATTCAAACAAATGTAGTGATGAATCATCGATGTCCGAATCTCACTCAATTAACAAATTCAACTTTTGCCAATGACTTATTTCTTCATCGTGTAAAGTTTTACCCTCTATTATGTCAACAGAATCAAAATCTCAAATGTTTTCATGACGAAAAACATATGTGCATTTGTGATTTGGATCGTTTCTCCAATTGCTTTACATTCAATACCTCGTCGTCACACGACTGCCAAGGAGAGAATATTTGCGAACATGGTGGCCAGTGTTTTCAAGATAATTCGAAATGTCCCGTCCAATCAGTGTGTTCGTGTTCAGAATGTCACTATGGAACGAAGTGTCAATTCTCAACAGAACGTTTCGTCTTTTCACTTGACTCAATTCTCACTTATCATATTCAACCGAATGTATCAATTAATCAACAATTAATTATTATTAAAATATGTATTTTCATCACAACAATCATGCTTGCCTTTGGATTGGTCAATGGTCTGTTGTCTGTTACAGCATTTCGTATGAAAGGCATTAACAAAACTGGTTGTAACGTGTATCTTCTAGTTTCATCTTGGAATTCCTTGGCTTTAATCATTATCTTCTATGCGAAGTTTTGGCATTTACTTTTCGCACAGATGGCAGCGATAACGAATAAACTTTATCTAACGGCAAATTGCATATTGTCCGATATGTTGATGAATGTTCTCATTACAAGTAATGATTGGCTTTACGGATGCGTTGCAATCGAACGAGTTTTTACTGTTTCCAAAGGTGTCAAATTTAATCAAGTGAAAAGTAAAACGTTTGCCAAATGGATTAGTTTGTGTGTATATCTAATGACAATTTTGACACGTATTCACGATCCTCTTCATCGTCATTTGATAGATGATACTGACGTTGATCAACAACGAACATGGTGCATTGTTCAATATTCTACTGCTATGAAGACGCTCAATCTTTTCATTACTTTTTTCCATTTTTTCGTGCCCTTTTTGATTAATTTCATCTCAACATTTACCATTATCATTTTGATTGCTCGCTCACGTTCAACGATTCAGCGTCAAACAACATTTAAAAATCATCTCAAACAACAATTCCACAAATTCAAACATCATCTGATTGCCTTATCCGTTGTGTTCATTTTAACACTACCACGTCTCGTCATTTCAATTATTAGTGGATGTATGAAGTCATCAACAGACCCGTGGCTACTTCTTCTCGGTTATTTCATGTCATTTATTCCGTCTATGATGACATTTGTCGTTTTCATATTGACAGCGCAGAAATACAAACAACAATTTCGTACGACCATACAGCAAACTGTTCGACAAATTCGCACTCGTTTTACTTGATTGTTCAACTAGATGCTTAAAATGTATTTTGCTTAGCTCGTGATGCCTCTCTATATAAAATTATACGTGGATATTTATTAAGCGTTAAACATCTACAATATCAACTTGCCAGTTCGACGAAGAAGCAATTCGAAAATGAGCTTATCACCCTTGAAAGTTACCCTTTATACGACTTTAGCCGTTCTTCAACCACCTTTTTTGCATAATCCTCTGTTCGATACCACCCATTGTATTGATATCGACTGTGTAGTAATCTGTGGGGTTTTGTGAATAACTATTGAAGCCCATAGTATCGCGTTTACCCTCTGAGAAAATCCAGAGACACAACGAAATTGTTTTGATTTGCCATAGATGTTGTACTTACCATTGCAACAACTGATTGTATTCTGTACTTACATTCAGTCGATAATCAGCCGTACCGTCTTGAAATGCGATATCATAGCCCATTGTGATGCGTGATTTATACATAATTTAATCGTAAAAAATGAAGAGAGCATAGTCGAAGGCAATCATAACGTTGCAGCAATTTTCTTCCTATCGATCACTAACAACCACTATCCGATGTTGAAGTTCAAATATGAGAAACGGTAACATACATCAATGCAAGTATTAATTAGCGAAGAGAGAGAGGGTGCGAGAAAGATTGTTCCTTGGAGTGAAGTGTTGCAATATGATTCTGTTTCCACAAATCCCAACTTCTTGTACGGCCCGACGGCTAACTCATGCATGACAAGGTGTTTCTTATTTCATGTGTGGTGAGTGTGCGGTAAAACTCATCTTAAAAAGGACGAACATGACTCAGAAAATAAATCACCATACAATGGAATTGCGACATCTATCCGATCATATTCCACATGTGCATATTCTCTCATATACTTCATATTTGATTTCTTACATTCCGTTTCCTGAAGAAAATATCGAAAAATACAATCATGTTAATCTAGATTCCTAAGTCCGAGTAAATATAACAAACGAAGAAGTAAAACTGAAAAAGAGTCTCAGTTTGTGACATGTCAATACCAAGATTGTCGTGTAATATGTACGATATAGTCTCTTGCTTCACCATATCCATCATTGTAACAAGCTTTGCGATTGTACGGATCTCTGTTCAAGTTGACACGCATCGTATGAGGTACATTGAGCATGTTATAGTCACTCATGGCAGGAATAATAATACTCAAGTCATGAACACCATTCCTGTAACCAGCATTACGATCATCCTCCCTTAACAATCGTTCAGTATTTTCATCGAATTGACCATCATTGTTCAGATCCATCCAAATACTGATAGAATGAGGTGAATCACAATAACTGTTGACCATTGACGCGTCGGCATTGTTCGAGTCTCTGAAACTCCAAGGTTCCACGCAATATAGTTCAATAGTCAGAGTATAAACTTTGTTCTCGAGCATCATCACACTAAAACGATTTTGATCTTGATAGTTGTTTGTTGCACTACATCGTGTCATTTCATCGTGAAGGAGTGTATTCTGTTCACCTGACAGTTTAACGAATCGTATGGCACTACTGCCTGCTGAGCAGATCAAGTTTCCAGGTAGACAGAGTGTTGATTCAGTGGCTTCTACGAAACAAAGTTAAAACAATATTTTCCAAAAGACTTCCATCTTATCACAAACCCGCTTTTAAATGAACAATGACATCTGATTCAGGCACTGATGCTAATTCTTGTCCAGTGACATATCCAACACCTACGCAAGTCAAACACAAGTCATTTATAGTACGTTAGTCAACAAATCTAATACAGAATATTACTTGAACATGGTTTCCTTGGAACAATATTCACTGTATATTCCAATACTTGACTGTGATCTGTGTTACCACATTCTCGTTGATAACTATCACTTCGCGTTAATCGAATACGCAAACGATGTACTCCTCTTTTCACATTTATATCGTCGATTGCTGGCACAGAGATTTGCAGGTCATATCCTCGTTCTTGTGTTTCGTCATCGATTCGCGATCGACGATGAACTCGATTTTCGGAGTCGTCAAATCTTCCATCATCATTCAGATCAATCCATACATCCACGTGATGACTGAGAGCACAATCATTGTCAAGCGAATCTCGATCATAGATTTCAGGACAGCCAAGCTGAATTCGTAACAGATATAGAGTATATCCATACCACGTCAGAGTTGAGTGCTGTCGAGTATGATATCCACTAATAATCATGTCACTTGGACTTGCATCTCGGATCTGTGTTCCCTGCTCACCACCAATCATCACATATACGATCTTGGCTGGAGTCGAATGGCATGTGAATGTTTTTCTTACAACCGAAACAACTGGACATGGTGCTGATAACAACAACAACAACAATAAACAGAGTCAACTTTCTGCAGAGAAACACTTCTTACCTGCACACATTGATTTCGGAACTATGTTCACCATATATTCTCGTATTTCGCTGTAATCTCCATTGCCACAATCTCTTGCATACTCACCGCCCGCTGAAATACGAATGCGCATACGATGTTGTCCAGTTTTTATGTCAACACCATCAATTGTTGGAATACACACTTCCAAACCAAATCTTCCTCGCGAGTTTTTACCTTCACCGAGTGAATTGTGAAGAACACGATTCTCAAACTCGTCGAATCTTCCATCGTCATTCAAGTCAATATGCACATCACCACGATATCCTAGTCGACAACCATCATCATACGAACCATCGCGATACTGTCCACCACAATCCAACTCAAGAGAAAGTACATTCACACTATTTTCGCATAAACTAATACTGAGATGACGTTGATTTTCATAGCTATTCAGGGCAAAGTTTGCTTGTGTCTCATCACGAATCTCTGTGTTGTGATGACCGGACATGAAAACCGAACGGACTGAAGCAGGTTTCACAAAACACAAGGGATTGATTGCTTTCACAGGTGCCATTGTTATGGTTGTCGTTGTTCTTCGACGTTGTTTTCTCGTTGTAGTAGTAGTACTANTTACCGAAAAAAATATCTTTCTTTTAGAAAAAGGAGGACATGTTTAAAAGTGCAAATCCATAATAGTCATTTATAGCGAACTTCTGCTTTCTGTGAAGAGTAATTGTCAGTCAGGAATATATAATAATTAAAAGCAACACAAGTAGTCCTTTGACTCTTTTGAAGACTGTGAGGCGAATGAAGATCAGTCTCTGGGGATCCTTCCAAAGGTTATACTTCTGTCTTTTTTTTGGATAAAACGCACATAGGACTATTTTATTTTCAGTCAGTGGTTCAGTCGAGGGCATAGCGAGTCTCCCTCGACGAGCGTTACTAGTTGATAGTATATTGATACAATATTATTAATAATTATATTTAAATAGTTGAGGGTGTGAGGGTGCGAGTGAGTTAAAGATAGAGATTATAAGGAGTTCAAAGTATTGTTCCATATGAGTGGTCCACGAAGAAGAACATTTAATACTCCAGACATGAAGGCAACCGCATATACACATTAATAAATGCGAGGGTGAGGGTGAGGGTGTGGGTGGGGTGAAAATTTTTTATGATTGGAACCGATAGAGCTCATCAAGTTGTACTTAGAACCAGTGTTGGCTTAATTGGAACCTACGCTGAAACGAACGCGCTCAAGAAAATGTCGAATCCTGCCCGAAGGTATCCTACGTAAAAAAAATATTTTTACTTGTGAAAACTTTCGAACGCGTTATTTTGAGTTTAAACTCTGTCTTACTTTTTGACACTTTGGTAAGATATTATCTTATATCTTTTCAAATTTGTTCAAACTTTTTTGTTAAAAATACCATCAAAATGCTGCATTTCACTTAACATTACCAAAAGAATTTTTAACGGATGTGCAGTTTTCGTATTAATTAAATTATATGTGCAGCTATGTCAACCAATAACAGATCATTTTTCAATGTAAATTAACTTTAGTATACATGTGCGACGAATTTTTAGTGGCTGCGCCAAGAGTGAGCTGACCCCACCTTGACTTTGAAAACTTTCCACAGAAAACTAATATTCGTTCTATAAAAATGTACGATTTCTATAATGAGCGCACCATAAAAAATTTTCTCCATATGTTCAGCCCACCCTCAAGAAAATTCTGGCGCCGCCGCTACAAATTGTCCGTGTGTCATGATTATATGTAGTTTACATGGGCAGCACAAGCTCCATCTTGAAGGAAAAGCAATAAAACTTTTAAATCTATACTAGTGACTGTTGTGACAGTACACGAGAAAACTATAGTTTTTCAATTACTTTTTGGATAATTGTGAAAACTCATGTGAAATTTTGTGAAAAATTTTTAAATATTTCTGAGAACTTACGGTAGTTTCCGACACGTCTCGACGAACATTTCCGAAAATAATCGAAAAATCGGATAAGTCATTGAAAAAAGTCTTTAGCTTTCTAGATTTATTATTTAAAAATATCTCGATAAAGTTTTCAATTTTCGACATTCTTTCTTCGATAACAAAGTTTTTGGAAGAGAGAAAGGAAGATTCAATACTCGTAGAATAACTTTCAAAAGACGAAAATGTTAATAGAGGCAATAACTTTCTATTGCCTCCCCAGATATTTTTTAGGGGAGACAATTGCTTCCCTTCGTCTATGAGGTGCGCCGTCTATGATAATATCTGTTACTAATATTACTTTCACTAGCAACTATATAAACATTACAAGTGAATGAATTTCGACTTGATTTTATTAAAAAACAACTGAAAAAGAAACAAATTATTTATCCTTCTTGTTGATCAATGTTGTGATAAAATCTGGCGCTCTAGTTAGTCCACCGCCTGCAGCACCGTATTGAACAAAAATATTTTTCAACGGTTCAATCCAATTCAGTTGTCCATATCGGCTAACTTGTCGATTGCAACCGTAAACATGAATTGGTTTCACTTGACATTCTCGTCCCAACG